GCTCGCCAAAGACTATATTTACAGCTACTACTACCATCTACATCTCGCGCTATACATATATCCAGCATACATATCCCTATCACAATACAACTTTGGAAGGCATCTGCCATCCAAGTTGGCTCGACATTTCGGCTCATTAATTAATTGGAGTCGTGACTTCAGTGGAGACACGCTGGATAACAGTGAGCCTCCTGGAGTCATAGTTACTGCCAGCATTAGCAGGTGCAACAGAAGGAACCGGCTGAACTCTGGATAAAAAAATGTTAAGAAAGACACAAATTTCAATCATTAGACACTCACAGGAGGAGGTCGGAGGCAACTTCGACGGTTAAGTTTACAGGAGGGTTCCCGTATACGAAGTTAGTTACGAAGAAAATTCCAACCCATCCAGCCTGGGCAGAATTAAACCAAACTCAGTAGTCAGTAATCTCCTTTCGAAAGCCAGTGTAACACATACCGCGGCAGGGCTCTGTGGGTTTGAAGGAACCTCGACCACCGCATTGAAGGTCACGTTGGCGCTAACTCTATTGGGAAGGCCTGCTTGGAGGAACGCCGTGAAGCCGGCGAGTGTGATATTGGCACCATTGAGCTCGAGGGCGACATTGGGGGATATGAATGAGTCGATGGCGGTTTGGAGCTGGGCCGTGGTGTTGGCGACGACTAGGGCAGTGAGGTGTTGCTCAGTCCATTCAGTGAGACTAGACAGCGCATGTCCGAGAGTGGCTATGGACAAGACGAAGAGGGACTTGAGAGCGAAGGGGCGCATCGAAATTGTTGGAGGGTGGAGTTTGAGGACAAATTAATCGACAACGGGTTGCGTGAGGTGTTTAGACTCATGTTATTGAGCTATATATACCTAATAGACCAGGGGTACCAATAGACATTGAAGTTGCGAGTTTCATCTTGTAATGGTGCCATGCATCTAATCCAGCTTCATTACAAACAAATTTCCAAAAAGGCGGCGCAGTCCCCTGGACCGGTACACAACTCGGGCCCACTAAACGAGCAATACTTACTCAAGAACGTTTGCAGGTGCCTCGACAATTCAACAGATGTCCAAGCTGGAAAGTTCCTATTAATAAACGTTGTTTTTTTATCTCCATACTACATTGTTCCAAGGTAGATTTTAACAGCTCGTACTCTAGCTTGAAGATCAGGGAGAGGGGGCGAGTAGGGGGCATTGAAAATTAAAGGAAGATCAATGACTAGGAATAAGAAAATCGGTCTGAGTGTACTCTACGTTGAAACGCTGTAGAGTCGCGAGAGCGTGCATCAGTTTTGCAGGCAGAGTTCGTTGTCCTCGGCGCCCTGCAACTTCACTCGGAGCCGTGTAAATGTGAGCGCACATCAAATAATCGGGGTTGAAAGTGGGGCATTTTCTGTCGAACGTAGGCGAGGGCAAGAGCACGCCTAAGATGATGATTCAGCCAGTCGCTGATTTATGACAGGGTCAGGTATCCTAAGCCGAGGTTTAGTCACTCTTCTGGCGGTCTCTGAGCGCTCAGAGATCCCCGGACAGCTGAAACGGCGCCGGTTTCGGTGAATCATGAGTAAGTACCAATAGTTTGCTTTGAGCAATAAGTAGCAAATTTAGATATTTATGCCACACTTGAGAGAACAAGACGAACCAGCCTGAGCATGCAATAGTAGACATCCAATGTCCGACACCTTTCTCATCGCCGTCATGTATACCGCAAGCATGCTACCATGGGAGAGCCTGGAGAGGGGCATCCCTATGTTTCATCCTCGATGCAGAGGGTGCGAGTAGGCTGCTGCTGGTACCAAGCTGGTACTGTCAGGGAAATCAGAAGCGGGCGCCAGCTGGTTCATGAATAACGATGCTGAAAATGTTGGAGTACCAGTGACATCTTGATTTGGTGGTCGGATTATTCAAGTGAAATAAATAAATGATGGCTGCGAAAGGAATTTCGTTGTCTTCTTTGACTTCGTCTGCCTTCTCGTAGAAGGCTTGCACGTCATCGACCTGACCTTCGAATGTGAGCTCCTCGAGTTGGCGCAGATGAACAGATAAGCGTTCCATTATGGGTTTAGATTGTGCCTAATGATTCCGAATGAGATTCTCGACCTCGAGTATGAGAAGAAAGAAGCAGCTCGGAATGGACACGGATATGGCTGGTAATAGATATTGTGAGGTTGAAGTTTACAATGATATTCACAAGCGAGCGCTCACCGCTATATGGCTGAAAATGTCTAAGCCTGGGTCGCCTTACCTGTCATGTTCCGAGGGAGAAATCCAAGAAGCGGCGCGTAATATTGTATACGTTTGGTTGATAGCGTACCACCGGGGAATCGCTCCTTGATTGGCAACGAGAGGGAGCTTCACAATATCAGAGGCTGGTCCTCGTCTACCAGATCCTCCTGGACCAGGGGCCTGTGTGTTGGCTTCCAAGTGTCACACCGTAAGATACAAGGTCGTTCACGTAGTCGTACGGTCAACCAAAAAAATACTTGCTGATACTCACAACTTTGTAGACAAGTTGAACGCTATTGCACTCCTCTAAAACTTGACCCACTGAAAGCGGGGTTTCTAAGAGTTCCGGGTGTTCCTCAAAAGGCCTACGTCGACTGACATGAAAGGGGGACTTGTTTCAGACTTGAAAACCGTCAGGGAGGCTTGAGGGAGGCTGGAATCAACCTAGAATGCAACTTGAACATCAGTGCTCCTGCTGACTATGTTACGAATGGCACTTACGCAATTCCTGCCTGTACTCTCCTGCAGCTGTGCTGAACACAACCCATGTTCCTCTGACGAACTGTCAGTTGATATTCCACTATGTAATGAGTCGTTCGAGACCACACCAAGGTCGTTCAAGTGATCACGAGAACCGTCCTTGAAGAACGCATGTTTCGGTTGCTGACCCTAAAGTAGGTGCTGGAGCTTGTCGTTGCCGATCCGTGCGATCCAGTCGGGCGGGTCTTCTTCGCACACCTCCATTCAAAGTTTCTCATGTGAACCCCATACCCCACGAACAAGGGTCTATGTACCGACAACAGCTTCCTACTTAAACCACCAGGCGGCGGATCCTGTTTACCGTCCCCCATCCACCCACCATGCTCGCCGCTCCGACTCTGCTCCTCTTTGCACTGTTGTGCATCAATCAATCGTCTGCACACCGGAACCCAAAGACCGAGCACGAGATAGAGGTTCAGCGGGCCTTACAGGCTGCTGCTTATCATGTTCGTGTTTTCATATCCATTTATATTGATCGGCGTTTACTAACTTCATCTCCTTGGAACAGTGTGCGCCAGCGGTTGAGTCATTCACCGCATCTCGAAAGCAGGCATGGGCCCAACAAGCTTTAGCAGGCATCCCAGGTCTGCCGGGACTGCAACACCTTTTCTCTGCAGAAACATACGGCGATATCGCAGACGCGGCCCATAACTCAGAGTCTCAAGATCACGCCCATGATAATGACGAGATCATGAACTGCACCCCGATATCCGATACTCATATCCAGAATAACACCTGTGTACTCGCTCCTGAAGTCACCGAAGGACCATATTATCATACTGAAGGCCATCCAATCAGGCAAAATATTGCGGAGATCCAGGATGGGTTGCTCCTGGTTTGTCATCTTGGTCGCTTGAAGATGTTTCATATGAACTTATGACGCCTGTAGCTGCTGGATATTGGTGTCATGGACGTCGAGACATGTCAACCTCTTCCCAATGTTTTGGTAGATATTTGGCAGGCGAACGCGACTGGCTCTTATGCAGGTGTGTCTAATCCGGTTCTTCTGTGGAAATGCATGCTCACGACGGTCCTGAATCCTGAATAGGCCATCCCGTGCCCCACCCCCACCTAGCGAACGAGGTGCCAGCAAAAGAAGGTAAAAGGAGAGGTCTCCTGTCAGCATTCCCTCGTACAATCCCCCAGGAGACCTGGCTTCGAGGAGCATGGCCAACGGATAAGAACGGAGTCGTCCAGTTCACCAGTGCGTGCACCGCCTTGTCATCTCTACTCAAAATACTAAACCCATGTACCAGGTATCTACCCTGGGTACTACACCGGTCGAGCAACCCACATCCACACCAAGGTCTTCCCAGAATGGTCCGTCATCCCGGAGAACAACACGTTCAAGGCCGGTCGCCTCGCGCACACTGGCCAGTTCTTCTTCGACGAGGACTTGAATATGGTCGTCGACAAGATGTATCCATATATCACGAACCCCATCAAAGACATCCGCGGCCGGACACGCAACGTCGAAGACTCGCTGAACATCTTCCACGATAGCTATGGACCCGAAGGGAAATACAATCCCGTCTTCAAAGTCCATCTGCTCGGTGGCGTGCTCTCGCAGGGTCTTATCGCCTATATCACAATGGTACGCATTGCTTCTCTATCATTTGCGCTTCGACTGATGACCCTTTCCCGGCATTTCTAGGGTGTGAATGCTAGTGCATCTTATGATAACTTCTGGAAGGGTTAAATAGCTGAGGTTCCTCGTGGTCGCATTGCTTGCCAGAAGGTGGAGGTGTTGAGACCACCATTCGACTGATCCGTACGTAGGGTAGGCGACATCGTGCGGATACGATGCAATAAGACCTATATATCACTTGTTGCAATGGGTTTCAAACCTTATCCTGTATCTGCTTGATGTTTTCTTTGCCATGGAGCATGCCATGTACTTGAATGAAATAACATTTCTTCTTCCCTTCAAAGAAATCTCAATTCCTCAGCACATACATTATTGCCTTTCGCTCAGTATTAATAAAATGAACAAAAAGATGACCGAGACAGGGGTCGAACCTGCAATCTCCTGATTCGCGTTGAGTCGTAGTCAGACGCGATGCCATTTCGCCACACGGCCATGTAAGTCTGGCTATTCGCAGATTTTATAGCCGCCCGGTTACTTCCCAAATAATCACGTGTTCTTATTTGTCTTCGCTTCCGATCACTTTTTCGGCTTGGCCGGAAAAAAAAAAGTTTGGCGTATTTCAAGCGGAACCTCTACAACTTATGCCCGCCTTCTCACAACGGCCGTGTGGCGAAATGGCATCGCGTCTGACTACGACTCAACGCGAATCAGGAGATTGCAGGTTCGACCCCTGTCTCGGTCATCTTTTTTGCTTTCCTTCACTTCAAGACCTCAGTTTGGAAGGACCCTGTAGCGTGTGACCCGGAACGGATGCCATTACAACCATATCGATGCTCCTCGACTTTATCCATCGTTGCCCTGGGCTGCCACTGAACGAAAACTCATTATGGATTCTTCTGCCAACAGTGAACCCCGAGGCTCGTTACACCAAGCTGCCTTGATCGAGATTTTGCATCGAGGGGCACCCATACTTGGTGGGTCTAGCGCTAAGCGCCTTGCTATGCTCTACCATCAAGACAAACAGGGATCCAATTTACTTTCTGACTCCTGTCCAATGTAGGAAGTGTCGAAGAATTCGGGAAGAGTGGCAAACTCAGTGACTGGATGGCCGAGTTTCCTGACGAAACCAAGCTTGTTCATATGAATTTGCCTGGAACACACGATACATGCACCTGTCCGTCCATGTTTACTCCAATGTACAGTATGTATACTAAGAATTTGTTCAGGGAATTACACGCCTGACGTCCAAGAATCCTTGAAACGATACACAGGCCCGTGAGTGCTCTGATTCCGTTAGGGCAAAATATTTGAAGTTTACGAATGGATGATTTGTGCTGCAGTATACCCGACTCTGCAATATACAGATGTCAGCAACATTCTATCTTCCGAATGCTAAACGAAGGCATCCGCGTATTTGACCTTCGATACGCTTGGAATCCAGGTAAAGATACTATCGGATTTTATCATTGTAGGTCCCAGACTTTTGCGCATTAGCTCTAATCACTAAGATCAACACCAACCCGGCTGAATACCTATTAGCGCTGGCTCTTTTAAGCCCAACGACAAGGATGGAAGACGTCCTGTTTGGACTCTATACCTGGCTCGACAATCACCCTACAGAGGCTGTCCTTGTATCAATGAATTTCGAACCTGGTACAGGAACTCGAGATGACGCTAAACTTCAGGAACAGTTATATAATATTTTGACCAGCGATCTAGCTAAAATATATTGGGTGCAGGAGAGAGGAGCGGTATGTCCTTCGTTCCTCAATTTTAAATATGGAAACACTCACTCGCCTATACATCCATATAGCTCGGAACATTGAGAGAAGCTCGCGGGAAGTTGACGCTTCTCCAACGATTCGATTTCAACTTGCTCCCCGCGCATTTGACCCACCGGATAGGTATCCACCTCGATGCTAAGCACTGGACTGTCAACGGCAAGGCGATCGAGCTCACTTACAATGCGGAGAAAGGCCACATTGCACACATCCAGGTAGCTTCCTGCCTCGGATTGATATCTCGTAGAGCTCGCTCAGTAATAATTGGACTCAAAGGATCACTACAAACTCCCTCCATCTGCTAACTCAAATCCCGAGTCTTGTATTGAGGAGAAGCTCCAGGTCCTCAAAGCTCACCTAGAGAAAGCAGTAGACAAAAATCTTCATCCCGATCAACTATATATCAGCTTTGCTAGCGCAGCTTTCCGGTTCGAAGAGCCGTCTTTGCTACCACAGGTATGGATATCCTATCTTATCGGACCAGTTTCTGATTGGAATACTTAGGTGTATGCTCTCGGAAACGGAGTAGACATCAGGACGGGTGTCAATCATGGGCTCCTCTCGTGGTTGCAGGAGAATCAGGGTAAACGACTTGGAATCGTGCGTAAGTACTTTTTACGTTCGAACTCCAAGGCGTGTTCCTAATGGCTAATGTCATCTTGCCTTAGTCCTCGACTTCTTCGATGCTGTCCCAGGGCTGGTGCAAGCTATCATAGGCCAGAATGTCCTTTCAAGAATTTAGACGTCGCAAATTTCTTACTGGTTCTTTTGTCACCTTTTATCATTCTAATGACACAGGACGATAAAGGCAAATCAGAGTCCAATAGCTGCCTCGACAAGACCCGGAACGGCATCGTAGAAATCGAACACTGAAATAAGGAACATTCAATAACCGGAATGCAAGGAGAAGTTACGGCATGACATACTGATGATTCCAAAACGTTGGCCCTTCCGTGACTGCAACCAAGGAAGTAGCCTTTGGTCCATGCCCTGAACTTCGGTACCATTGCCCAATGCGAAGATCTGGAAGAAAGTAGTTCGGCTTATCCGTCTTTGCTTCAGGAAAAAGTTTCAATCGACGAACCTGAGGCGTCATGGGAGGGTTATCATCAATAAAGGCGGCACTTGCGAAGCTAATGTACAATTGGTCGGGATTGAGATCCGTACGAGTTGCATTCGCGATATGTGCCGTCGTTGCGTTGAATTTCGCGTCAATGTATGTTGTTGCGCCTGAACCCAGAGGGAGACTAGCAGTTATTTCATAAAAGTCCTTGCATGATAAAGCGCGTCAAATGGGTAACTTGGATTGGGGAAAATCCAATTACCTCGATAAACGCGATCTGATTTTTAGCCACGTTGTAGACAAGTTCGATTATCTTCGCGTTGTCCGTCCAGTGTCCGGGGTCAAGTGGGATTCCTATACGCTTCGTCAAGTTGGCGGGGAGCAGGTTGTAACTGAAGCGTTGGAGGAGTGTAAGTTTTCCTCGTGCTTCTCCCAGCGTTCCAAGCTACAAAGGAAAAACGCGAACAAATAAATAGGGTACACAGAAGACCATGGTACGTCGGCGGCGTACCGTTCCATTCACTTGGACCCAGTACTTCTGTGCGAGAGGAGTATTGAGGATGTCGTAGAGTTTCTCATAGAATATGGAGTCTTCCGGCGTTCCAGTTCCACTTTCGTGGTTGATAGAGACCAACACGGCCTCAGTGGGATGGTTGTTAAGCCAGTTGTAAAGTCCGAAGAAGACGTCCTCTACTCTTGTGGTAGGGCTTAAAAGAGCACTGGCTGAAGGCAGGTGGGTACGTCAACGTGCTTACTTCGAGAGATCGATGGCTTACAATGGTAGAACCCGAGTGTGTCATTTCCAGGATTATACGCGACGCGCAGGTCAAAAACGCGTATTCCTTCGTTCAGAGATTGTAGGATAGAGTGTTCCTGGCAGCGGTAGACCTCTGCAGGCAGCATTCTAGCACGCAACTCGACATTTATCCAGGACAATTATTCACGCATATATTCAACTCACGGGCCAGTATAATGAGTGAGCGAGGCTTGCGTAGCGTCAGAGTAATTCCCTATATGATGTTGCTTAGTTATTTATTTACTGCGGTGAAGGCAAGGAAAACGGTTCTTACAAGTGGAAGTATCATGAGTGCCAGGCAGATTCATATGAACCAACTTCGTGCTGTCAGCAAATTTGGCCATCCAATCACAAGTTTTGGCTGTCTTGGAACATCCATTATCAATTCCTGAGGGTGAAAAAACGCGATAAGCCGTATGAGAACATCGAACAGTTTTCGTGCTCACCAGCAATCGGGGCTGCCCGGTCTAAGATATCTGCTAACGCCTGTTGACCCAAATAGCTTTGAGCTGCAATTCCGCTCGAACTTGGAGCTGCCCATGCTGAGGACACGAAGGCCACCAAGCCCAAACTAGTCGCGAAAAGATCCAAAGGACGCAGAAAGAGCATGACTTTTGTTCACGTTATTCACTCCTTGTAGCCAGAATCGATGGCTGTTGGCGAGCGACTACGTCGACTGTTGGCTGGTTCAAGCCCTTCGTATTTAAACAGTCGATGACAAGTGGTGCCGAACTAAATTGCTGGACGGCCCAACCGGATTCCGCAGGACCGCAAAGAACTCTGAAAGACAAGAAGCATGACCCTGGAGGTATGTTTGCCAGCTGTTGAGCATGAGGTCGACATCGAACGTTGGTAAGAATGCCTAGAAGAAGCTGTATAGCGCTGTCTCGGGAGTTTAGTAGGGTCTCTTCTGGTCGCTTGTGCACATGGACGTCGGTCTGGCAGTTTCGGCAATGTGGTAATTGGTAATCTATTCCCACGCTTTGGGGACGAACTCATGATATTGCGTTCATTGTTGGCGACCATCATCGTCGACCATCATCGTGAAGCGTTAAAAAGTCTTGAAGGCACCGTTGAAGGCAAGTACAAATTGTTGGATGAGTGTCAAGGCTAACTCACAAGAAACAGGCCCTCCTTTTGCATCTAGGAGACCTTCAATGTCGTAACGTTCTTCCTGGCGTTTAAAATTACAGTGCATAATATTGCGCCCCACACAAGCCCCACATCAACTGCACCACATCTTATTCCTGGCAAATCTGACAACCGTGGTTGTCTACACGCACAGCGACGGTTAGGCGGCCCCGACACACGTTCCTCGTGGCACAGAAGCACCCTCATAATAGGTCACGCGTAAACCATCGTCGTCGAAGCTTTAAAAGCGTGTCGCTTCGACGGACAAGCGGACCGAGCCTATCGTTGACGAACCCAACTCCTGCCGCCATGCTCATCTCTGCTGCAGTTGTCTTCGCTGCTATTGCAGTCGCCTCTGGGGAAATCGTCCACTATCCACCCGCTGCAACGAACATCAACAACCTGACTTTCGTCTTGAATGGATCTGGCGCCCCGGGAATCTTTAACTCGTCAATCACACCTAACGCATTGTATGGCACGTACAATTGGTGTAATATGCCCCATGTTAGGCAACGGGAATACAAGTTCGTCGCTCTACTATATTTTGAATGCAACTATTTGGCTTACGTTCTCCTATCTAGGACGCCACCGAAGAACTACACCCTCAAATACGTGGAAGTAATTCAAAGACATCACAAACGCACACCTTACGCGTCAAACACGTTTTTTAAGGAAGATGTCGCGTGGTCTTGCGATGGTTCGGGTGCTACCTTTGGAGGAACTGCGTGAGTGACTTCGTGTCGAATATCCTGCCGAATGACTGATATGTATTGTATTTGGAAGCCCCCAGGGACCAGGAGCTAGTGTTTCGCCCGTACAGGTCAATATTAATCCTCGCTAATCGTGGAATATCTCTCTAAACATTGTCTTCATAGTGGCAAGCATTTACTGACGCGCAAAATCCATGGACAACTACTGTCGGCCCAGGTTTTGTTGGAAGCAGGTATGTAGCTCAGCGTGGCTCATATCAC